TGAAAGGATTTCTTTTTCCATGAGCGCTGTGTTTCCTTTATATGATGTTTCAAGAGAGTTAATGCCTTTACTGTACCTTAGCCAATCAGGCTGCATGTCTGATGCCTCCTTCTTTAATAATATAACATATCCTCCTCTCTCCATTGCAGATTACTTTTATAAATCATATAAATCATATCCAGAATCCTGCGAAATATGAATTGCTGAGAATTGAAAACATGAGGCTTTTTTTCAGGCTTTTTTCTGAATGCAAATCATTGCACAACTACAGAAACATGCTGGGACTTTGTGTGAGAAGTCTAGTGCTGAAGAATAAAAAATGAAGAATGGCTTGAGTCTGAAAATGGAAAATTATTAGTGTTATAAGGAAAAATTATTTTTCTGAAGACCATCTCATAGATGTTCAGCACCATGAAAGTGTATAAAAAATACTTATTTGCCAAGTCCAATATTAAATCGGTCTAATTTTTCATTTCAAACGCTGTTGATAGAAAAGGTAGTTCCCTTTTGTTAGATGCCATCCATGTTAAGGAGCCGATTTGACTATCCCTATGTAATCATTGGAGGCAGTTTTCTTCATATTGCTCATTGCTAATATAAGCCCCAAGGAGAGGTTAAATGTTCTGATAATAAACATTCATCTGCTCTCAATATTTTAAAAGAACAAAATTATGGCATAGCCAAATGAGTTCCAGAAGGCAATAAATGTGCTGGCTTCATGTCACCAGTAAACATGCACATGTTTGAAGAGAAAACTAGTTTTTTAAAATCAAGACAGAATGGACAAGGCGAATACCAGAACCACAACCCTGGACCTCAGGAGAGCAGTCTTCAGCCTCTTCAGGGATCTGCTTGGAAGAACTCCATAGAGGATGATCCTTGAGAAAAGAGGAGTCCAAGAGAACTAGTGATTCTCTAGGACCACCTCCTTTAAGCTCAAGAACTGTCCATCCTGATATGCAGGAAGTCAAGGAAAAGGTGGCAGGAGACCTGCATGGATGAACAAGGAGCTCCTGGTAAAACTCAAACATAGAAAGTAAACATAAAAGAGGTGGAAGCAGAGTCAGTTGACCCAGTGCAGGGACTGGGTGGGGAATATAGAGATAGTGTCTGAGCATGCAGGAACAGAGTTAGGAAAGTAAAAGCCCTCCAGTAGCTGAGCCTAGCAAGGGACTTTAAGGGCATCAAGAAGGCTCTATAACTATATCAGTAGCAAAAGGAAGGCTAGGGAAAATATGGGTCTTCTGCTGAGTGGGACATGGAAAAGGCTGAGTTACTCAATGCCTCCTTCACTTTGGTCTTTACTAGTAAAATCTACATATAGTGATCTGAGGCCCCTGTGACCAGAGAGAAAACCTGCAGCAACCAATATTTACCTTCGGTGGAGGAATATCAGGTTAGGAGAACATTTAAACAAATTGGACATAGAAGAGTCCAGGGGATCTGATGGGATACACCTACAAGTGCTGAGGGAGCTGGCCAATGTCAGTGCAAGACTACTCTCAATTATCTTTGAAAGGTCATGGTGACTGGGGAAAGTTCCTGAGGACTGGAAAAAAGCAAATGTCACACCTATCTTCAAGAAGGAGGATCCAGAGAACTACAAGCTAGTCGGCCTCATTTCGATCCCTGAGAAGGTGATGGAAAAAAACAAATGTGGAAGCCATTTGCAAACATCTGAAGGACAAGAGGGTGATTGGAAGTTCTCAGTGTGGATCTACAAAGGTGAAGTCATGCTTGACCAACATGGTAGCCTTCTACAATGAGATAAATTAGGTTCATCTTTGTGGACAAAGGGAGAGCAGTCATTGTTTTTTATCTCGATTTTAGCAAGGTTTTTGACACTGTCAAAAAGAATGAAGATAGGTTGACAGAGAGGTGGATTCAAAAGTGACTGAACTGCCAGGCTTTAACTGTTGTGATCAGCATCATGAAGTCCAGCTGGAGGTCCATCACTAATGGCGATGGCCCCAGCGGTCAATACTGGGGCCAACATTAATGACTTGGATAATGGAACAGAATACAGTTTCAGCAAGTTTTCAGATGATAGAAAAGTGGAAGGAGTGGTTGATACACCAGATGGTTGTACTGCCCTTCAGAGCGATCTGGACAGGCTGGAGAAGTGGGTTGGCAGGAATTTTATTAAGTGTGACAAAGGGAAATGAAAAGTCCTGTACTACAGAAGGAGTAACCCTATGCACCAGTACAGGCTGGGGGCCAACCAGCTGGAAAGCGTTGTTCTAGCAAAGGATCTTGGAATGCTGGGGGCCACCAAGTTGAACATGAGCCCATGGTGCGTGCCCTTGCAACAAAAAAATGTTGACAACCTTTGGGCTGCATTAGGAAGAGTGTTGCCAGCAGGTCAAGGGAGGTGAATTTTCCTCTCTACTCAGCAGTGGTGAGACAGATCTGGAGTGCTGTGTCCAGTCCTTGGGCTCCCTGGGACAAGTGAGACACGGACATACTGGAACAAGTCCAGCCAAGGGCTAGAATGATGATTAAGGGCTTGGAGCATCTGATATTCAAGGAGAGGCTGAGAGAGATGGGACTGTTCAGTCTGGAGAAGAGAAGGCTCAGGCAGGATCTTATGAGTGTGTATATACATCTGATAGGAGGGACTAAAGAAGACAGAGCCAGGCTTTTCTCAATGACGTCCAGTAACAGGACAAGAGGGAAGAAGCACAAATTGGAATACAGGAAATTCCATTTAAACTTAAGAAAAACCTTTTTACTGTGAGAGTAGTCAAACACTGAAATAGGTTGCTCCTAGAATTTCCGGAGTCTCCATTCTTGGAGATATTCAAAACCCAACTGGACACAGCCCTGAGTATACTGCTCTAGTTGACCATGCTCTGAGCATGTGGTTGGAGTAGACAATCTCCAGAGGTGCCTTCCAACCTCAGAAGTTCTGTGAAAACTTTGAGTTGGGCCATGGTCATCCAACTGCATCCAGGTTGCCTCCCAGGTTTAGGTTATGCTTATTTAAGGTCATTTTCACAAACAAACCTTTCTCCATCAGTGAAGGAATAAAAGAGTAGCCCAAATTATCATGGGGTCTTCTTACCTCAGTCTTTGCTCCACAAAACAGCGGAAAGCAGAGAAGCAATTCATAGAGAGGGTTTATGCCTTTGATGCAATAGGAAATTTGGGAGAAAAACACCCGAGTCTTGTCAATGGAGCAGAACTCCTAAATGTGCGAGAAGTAGAAGGAAGGAGAAGGAGTTTTGCAGAAGGGGATTTAGGAAGTGACAACGATATTCCAAACACGCTGGACTGTAAGAAGCTGGTGCCAAAATGAAAGATTGCTTTGCTCACAAGGCTCTGTCTTTCCATAAATCAAATACTGTGTTGAATTCTGGTCATCATATTTCAGAAAGGTTTGAGACAGGTAGCAAAAATGATTAAGGGCTTCAAAAATATTCTCATACAAAAGTTTAAAATTTTTTACCTCAAGGAGTCTAATGTAAAGGGATATGATAGTCATAACTCCTAGCCTTCTGATTTCCAGTGGACATAGTAGCACTTAACTATATCTAATGCTTTTCAGAGCATATCAAAGCACTTTCTATGGAGATCCGTATCAGTACCCCAACTTTACATGGGATGGGATATACAAGATAAGTTGGATGTAGCGTCACCCAAAAAATCAGTTGCAGAGATTGAATTAGAAACAGGTTTGTTGACTTCCAGAAGAGCATGGTAGCCACTCAGCCATCCTTCCTTGGGATAAAACCAAGGAAAAAGAGGACGTAGTTCCAGTGCAGGATCTTCTGTCTGTAACAAAATAACATTCGGTGAAATTGAAACATGTCACATTCAAAGTGAACTGAAAGATTTACTTGATACCTGATGTATTTAGCTTTCAAAACTGACTCCAGTTAGATATCGATGATGCCAACAGCTCAACAGGATTCAAAATATGTGTGTGGAAAATATTTGTAGTAAATGTTGCAACCATTAAGATTTTTTTAAAGGACATGTCAGTGCTTATGCCAGTTTGTAACAGATTTAGGCAGATATTTTTCTAGTGGACATACCAGCACTTAAATAGCATTTCAAGGCAGTTTGCGCAGAGTGGGAGATTATTGTCAAGGTCAGAACAGCACAATGAGACACATAATTGTTCAGATGTGGTGTGTTCAGTGCCTACCTGGCTTCCAAATGAGGTGAAAGTACTAATTAAAAGTCACAGCATGAGCTATATGATGTAACAGTTTTTAGTCATTCTGGACCAGGGAAGGTAATGTCTAATCTAATCTAATATAATAATTTTTTATAAATACAAGCAAGTATAAAAGAAACACAGAGAACTGACAGAGAGATACGTCTTTGGTTTTGTTGAAGTGCTTAATGAGAGCTATATGAATACTTCACTAGGCAGCCAGTCAAACAATGACTGCTACACATTCCTGTTGCAGTTGCACAACATAGTAAAAAAACAAGGTGAGTTGCTCTGGGATTTTTGAGCTCTACTGTAATAGGAAATCAATCACACTCTAAGCGAAGTGCAAAGACGTTTGTTCCAATCGTTGTTCTTTGATGGGAAGGCACAGCCGTTCCTTTGATGCCATCAGGGAGCTCTACCAGCCTGGTCTCAACGTAGGCCTGGACATCTTCTCAAGATACCCGTGCTTGTTGTTGGGCTTGGTGAGCAGAGGCAAGGTTATAAAACATAGACACCCCATAAACCTTCCCCTTGCTTCAAACTCACCAGTCTCCTATTTCAGAGAGAAATATGAGAAACAACTGTATGTGTCTTTCTACATATCTAACTAACCCTTCTTCCCCGTTTGAACAGGCGGTCTTCGTATTTCAGCTTTATGCTGTATTATGTATTTGTCTCATGGACATGTACAGGTCTCAGGATTGCTGTACCCTTTACCAAAAGAAACCATCTTTGCCTTAGGAAATCAGTGCTCTCTACTTTTTCTCTGCTTATTTCTCATAATGCTTTTAAGTATAAACATGGGGTTTAGTAATTTTTTTTTATATAATTTCAGAGAAAGAATGATCTCTATACTCTTTCTTCCAATGTGTCCTTCGAAGTTAAGAGCATGCCATATAAAGTACAACCAGCAAAGCTCCCCGAGGGAAGCATAGCAGTAAGTAACTGAAAATTATATCTTTGTGTGAAGCACATGTATTTGGTCATTCTGATCACAGCTGTGAAAGTTTTTAGAGATGAAAATATTGAGATCAGCGTTTCCTGTGTTTCTAGTGTAAATTCCTGAAATAATACCTAAAGGAAATACCTTTATTGCGTTTTGTGGAAGTTGCTGATATATGATACTAATTCAATTTTTAAATAATTTCTTGCTGCATTAATGTGCAGACTGCTTTACTGCAATCAGAATGGATTTTTCACCCAGAAGAAAACAACAAGAAAGCAAGTGTCTAATTATCTTGTTTGGGGTAAAAAAAATCTGGAGGAAGTTTTTGTGCAAAATCCAAAATCTTGTGGCTGCCAGGTTTAAGTCTCACTCTTCTTCCAGTCAGCAGTTCTCTCACACAAGCTTATGCATTATCTATGGCTACTTCTTTCTTATCTGTATTAAGCTTTTTAGACACTCTGATTTTCAGAAGTGTCTGCGTGCCTCTGTAGGGTTTCCACATCTTGCAGATCAAGTGCAAGATAGTAAATTACCTGGTAATCCCTACAGATGTGATGTGATAGACAGATACTAAAGTACTTGCCTTATTTGCAGAGCAAGATTTGTATGGCCCTGGATTATTATATGGAAACTTAATCTTGGAGGCATAAGTTTGATTTAATTGTTTGATGGTGCCAAAGCATTGAGTTTAGGGAGCAATTTAAAGGAATTTGCTTCTTATGGTGTCTAATACCACGGTTAAAATTCACTCTATTTTGTCATTAGTGGTAGAAATAAGTAAAATATGAGTGCAAAATTTGATTGTAGAGTAAGAGTAATCTGAAATTTGAAGGCTTATTGTTCTCATCTTTATGAAGATTTATCATTTACATTCCTTCTTATAAAAGGTAAGCTTAGAACAAACTTTTCCAAGTTAAATCGTGGTGCAAATACATCATGTCAGGCTGCTGAGATGCAATATAATAATACACTTTACAGCTTACTTTGAATGTATTTTAGAGGATGCAGGATATAAAGTTTTGCATTGAACAAGCACAGATTGAATGGTTGATTGATACTTGCTCTGGGAAGACACGAGGTGAAATCTTTGTCCTATATTCTCAGTGATTCCAAACTCTAACATCAGGAGAGCCATGATTTCACCAGAGAGATCTGATGCTTAATGCAGTATTCATCCAGAAAGGTTCAAAGGCTCCAAGCTGACAGATACACTCAGGCTTCTTTTATTTTCTTGCAGCATGTGTTCCATACCAGAAACACATGTTGTGCAGAACTGTTGATAGTGGTGCCTTCATCTGGACTGAAGTGCTTTACCCCAGGTGATAGCCTGCTGTTCTCAACAAGTGTCAGATGATCTACCAAATGATCAGATAAGCATTTTATTCTCTTACTCCAGCCAGTATAATGCTTGTTATTTGCTGCAGATGATTTACAGCAAAATGCCTGTAATGGCAACTGTAAAATGTTGAAAAATGATAGCGCTTTTATGTCGTTTCATATCTGGACATGGCAGTGGATGCTTGCCAGCTCTACAGCTTGATGTGTTATACGCACAAGCTCTTTTGATGTTCCACTTGCAAGAAGAAATATTTGCTTGAAGTTGGGCAATGCTTAATATTTTTGCTCCTTCTGAAAAAGATCACTGGTTGTGTTTCAAAAGTTTCTAAAGATTTATTTGGAGGTTTATGGTTCTCTTTCAGACAATGCAAGGGTGGAAGTGGAATAGAGATTTTAATATTTTAAAATTAATTGTCAAAAGTATATATCTAATAATCAGCTAACACTTTACAGTTTATACAGTGAAGATCATGTACTCTAAAAAAAACAGAGCATATATCCTTCATTTAACTCATACAGTGCTGGGTTCCAATTATGCAGGCTGATATGTATATTTCTTTTTAATGGCATGAATAATCCCATACACATCAGTGACCTACACAGTCATGTCATCATATTTGCAGCACTGAGGTCTCTATTTCCATCACGGAATATAGGTCTATAACTTGAACAGAAGGTCATGATACATAGGTGTGTGAAAGGTGGAATATAGGTCTATAACTTGAACAGGTCATGATACATAGGTGTGTGAAAGGTTATATAAAAGTAAGAAAATCTAAATCTCTTTTAGCAAAACATTAGAGTGAAAATGGCATCAAACAGAAAATCAGCTTGGAACTTAGTGGAACTTAAACCAAAATCCACTGACATCAATAAAAGTATTTCTATTAATTTTGTTAGGCTTGGAATTACAACTATATATTGTACAACTGGTTAGATTTCCTTGCTAAGAGCTGTATCATTCCAGAAAAAAAATATCATTTCTTCTTAGAAGTATTATTATGGTAAATAATACTTGATTTATTTCATGTGCAAGGTGAAAGTACTTTTTATTATAAGAAGTACAGAATTAGAAGAAGCAGTAATGTGTTCCATTTTAATTTATGATTCTTGAGCTAGTTTTGGAGTTTAATAGGATACGATTGCTTTTCTTAAATGGTTGACAGGATCTTCAGAGGGGATGCCTTAAATGTAAACTGTTTGACCAGTGTCCCACAGTGAGTAAAATTGGTTTCAGAGTATGGCTTATAACTCTTTTTTTAGCTATTACACAGTGATAGTACTTACATTTTAAATGTGCTTATATTCCTTATGAAACATATTTGCACAAACATTTGTAAAATGTAAACATAAATGTCAATGTTAATTATGACTCCAAGCTCAAGGGAGCTTTTACATTCTATTTTGAACATTTTTTCAGAGTATACAAGAACATCATGCTGCAAAGGTTGCATGGGAACTTGTAGGAGTGCTAAAGAGTTCCTGTTTCTCAGTCTCTGTAAGCAAAATGACTGAAGATTAGAGGAAGGTCATCATGGGCAGCAAAAGTGGTAGCATTAGAATAATAATCAATTTAGCTACTGTTTCTTAAGGTAGCAGATTAAATTATGGAGAAGTTATTTTTATTTTTTAGACTGTGTCTTTTAAAGGAAAAGAGGGAAGAAAATAGCCTTGTAAGAATCCCACTAGCAGGCACTGAATTCTGACCAGAGATGCTCGATGTTTGCACCAGTAAAACCTAATTCCCATCTATTCACAAAGGACTGCCGATGAACCGGCAGCTTTCCACATATACTCCTCTCTGCCTTGTGCTGCCTTCCAGTGGAATCAAAGACAATTTTGAAGCTACAGTTGCACAATTGCTACAATTTTGTAGCACCATAATCAGAAGCAAAATCCAAACTGTTCAAAAATCAGTGCCAAAAAGCCTAATATTTCTGTCATCTACTTACAATGTGCTTAACTGTGGCACATTTGAAAAAAGGAAGATACCGCCCCCCCCTAAAAATACTTTAATGAGCATCAAGTGACTTTCATCAAACCACAAGAGCAATTCTGAAGTTAAGACTATTAGACAGCATCTGTGCTAAGACCAGCTTGGATTTTATTTCCAATAGCAGACAAAGGCTCTGGCCATAACTCTCCGATTGGCTTCACCCTCATCCCAGTGCTTAAGCCAGATGGCATTCCTTGTCACCTTTGATACAAAAAAGGTGTGAGACATTTCAGCACTGTGAAAGGCCAAAAGTCAGACACCTCCTCTCAAGTCCGTGAGGTGAGCTTTTTGCCAGCTTGACAGAGAAGCAAACACTGTTTTCAGTGTTCAGTGTAAGAAAGTCTTCTAGTCCTGAATGGAGAGGAAAGCTAACATGCATCTGAAGTACAGTGCCAACATGCAACACTTGTGTAAAAATTCCACTTCTTTGTATTGGCCACCTTAGATGAAAACAGATAAATCCCCCCCAAAACGTTCCCTGGCTGTGATCCTGCAGTACTAAACCTACCACATGGAGAAGAACAGAAATCCAAGCTGAATAGTGCAAACTTGTCTCAAATCAAAATCATATGTAAAACTGTTGTGGACAGCATGGGGTGGAGGAGGGACAGTCTTCTGTGGAAATGGTGAAACGAGGCAGGCAAAACTGAAGGGACGCTTTGTTTCTTTCTTCCCCTCCAGCTTCTGCCTCAGCTCTGTGGGTGTTCAGGACTTGCAGTGTCAACTGTTCACAGGAATTGCATTAGTAGCCCTGCAAGGTTTTGTATAGAGTACAAAAGGAGGCAGCCCAGGGGTGCTATATTCTGCTGGTAATGCATACAGGCAGGAGTGAGACTGACAGCTACATATAATCCCCTGCTCAGGAAATAAATCTCAAGCACTTAACACAACCTTTGCTTTGCTTTCCAAAACCTAAGACAAAGAAGGATTCATGCGGAAAGGGTGTGGGGGCGACAAGATGGTTTTAAGATTTTAGCAGGCAAATGTTTCATTAGCCGTTGGCGTCACTGCTGCTACAAGAGAATAGAGATGTGGCAACTTTGCAGCAGCATTCTGCTAGATACAGGATAGACCTCATTTTTGCTGTCTGTTTTACTCGTTGCTGATAATCTAAGGATTATAAACATGATGCTCTGCACTTCTCTAAGATTATAGTTTCTTGTTTATATTTCAACATTTGTCAGGCTCCAGCTGAGCTACTGAAATTACACTGTAAATCGCACTCTGTAAATAAAGGCAGAATGACAGAAGGAAGAAGCGGGGAGAGGATTATGAACCCATGCAGTACAAGCAAGGCTGAGCGCTGCTACACCACTCATAACTGGTTACAATGCGTAACTCAGATGTCTTTATCTGGACCCATGCTGATAGGTACTGTGCAGGTTATGACAATTAGAGCTAGGTTGCCTTATTGTTTTCACAGTCTAAGAGGAAAGAAAACACAACACAGAAATGCAGCAAACGTCTAGGAAGTGATGCATAAAAGAAGACATGGAATGGCTACATGGGTACTTGCAGTTGCATACACTACTATCAGCTTTATCCAAAGCCTAATGTAATCCACCATCCCTAATGAAAAAGAATGT